CCTGTCTACGCTTATGGGAGATCTAAGGCTAAGGTTGTGGTGTTGGGTGACAAATGGCACCCCAATTTGGTGCTCGTCCCAACACAGAGGGCACAGGAGCCCTGCTGCGGAAGCCCCCTCCCTCTGTACCAGCTGAGAATCAGCAAGTCTCATAGACGTTCCTTTTCAACTGAATTGGTGATTGGCTGGCTCCTGGAGGCTCACCCTCCATGCTGGGTGGTCCTGTGGGTGGTGTTAGCACATTGTTCTCATCTACCTCACACACGTGTTGTGCATCATGTTATCTTGTGATTTTAATATCCACCATCACCAGCTAGAATTGGCATAAAAAGCCAGGCTGGCAATAATTTGGCCGGTTGTTGATGGTTTGTGGTGGGAGGGTGTATTAGATCCATTTTCCCGAATACGAATAAGGGTTTAGAGTGAGACGTCTACACCTTCTCATAGGATTACTTCCTTATCCTTTGCCCTTTGGGTCCAGAGAAATGACATCATGATGTCAGAGAACTGGGATGGGACTGAACACCACTGCCTGCTCTTGGTTCCCAGGCTTTGACTTGGTAGTGGCCAGAATACCCTGGTTGAGGCTTCAGGGTACATTGGCATCCTCTGCCCTTACCAGCAGTGCTGGGGAATCAGCTGTGATTGCTGGCCCCACAGTAGCCCACAATCTCTGCAATGGACAGGCATAGGGCTCCAGCTTCAGCCCTTCTGCCTGAGGTGTACTGTCAGCTCTGAACAGGTCTCTCTCTGATGCCTCCACCTTCCAGCATCAAGGGCTCCCAGATGTGCTGACCTGGCTATAGGCATGTCCTGTCTATACCCCTGAAGGTGTAGATGGGCCAGTGTGGATGTTGATATGCCCTATCCATCTGTGGCGTGTGCACATGGCTGACGCAGGTGTGTCCCCTGGATTCATGGATGGACCTGCTGACTCAGGAGCTCACTTTCAATTGCCCTCGACTTATCAGGGATTGGCCAAGCAGCTAGCATGAATTTACAAAAAACAGAACTCGCAGGTAGACTGATCTTGCCAAACTGCCAGCTGTGAGACTAGGGCTGCATTTGACTTTAAGCCCACTTACCTTGAGCATGTGTGGCGTGGAGCTGCAGGGTCCCAGATGGTGAGTGTGGATCTGCCGACCAGCAACTCGCTCACATTGGACTCTGATCAAGGCTGCTCGCTGGGAGTCTCATGGTGAAAGCCTTTTAAATCAAAGGGCTAGATGGGGAGAACAAAGGCAATCTCCTACCTGAAGAGACTGTGCTGTTCCATTAGCTGTCTGCCTCCGGTACCTGATAGTTTAAGGGAGCGGAGTCCGTTTTTGCCCTGTCTCTGTTCTCACTGTGCGGGAAGAGCATTAAACACATACAGGAGTATGTACACACAGATGTGCACACACATGCATATATACTTGCACATGTACACATATGCACATACGTGCTCACCACATGCACACATGGGCTCATTGGTGCTCAAAGGCACATATGTTAATATACACACATGCACACTTACTGGCACATGTACACATGTGCACCCCCACATGCACACACACGTCCACGAATGTGCACATGCACTTGCACATTCACTTGCGCACACATACTCTGGGAGGGCACAGCTTGTGCCACTGGTTGTCACTTGTCACAGTACATGAGATCTCTGTTATGAAATGTTCTGTCTCCAAAAACAGATATTGCTTCTCTTTTAGAAAAATATTCTTGGCTGGGTCCCTGGAACTTTAATTAAAATCCCAATTGCTCTTTAAAAAGCGTTATTGCATTTCAGACAGCTTGAACGTGGAAAAGAAGGCCAGAAGCCAGAGCATTTGCTGGCGGGTGGCAGGGACTATGTGGACAGGGCCAGGTCTGCCTGAGCAACCTGTTGGTCTCTGGGGATGCCCCCTGGGGAGTGGCCTGCTACTCAGTGAGGCAGGTCCTCAGCCCATCCCTGCATCTGCAGGTGATTACCCAGAGCAGGCCCAGGCTTTCTCACAGTGTCCTTGACCTTGTCAGGATTGTTATGAACACAAATCTAACGAGATCGTTGCTAACGAGAGAGCTCATCTGCCTTGTTTAGTTACTAAGGCACTGGAGTGTGACCCTCGTGGGGACAGGAGTCACCCTTGTTTAGTTCCTGCTGAGTCCTTTGCCACCTAGCCCAGAATGTGATAGGAGCAGCTGCTCAGTAAGAACTCGGGAGCATCTGTGGAGGCCTGTGACATGCTGGGTACAAGGGATACAAATGTGACCGGTCCCTGTCAGCAAGGGGTGTGTGGGCAAGTGAGGGCCTTCAAGGCCAGTGGACTCTCATCATGAGTCACTGTCTTGAGGACTTGCAATGTGCCAGGCATTTTCCAGGTTTTCTCTCTCAAAATAACCTGATAAAGTAGGTTTTTGTTTGTTTGTTTGTTTTTCTATAGAAGAGGAAACAGTATGAGGAAATTTTGAGGAAATAATTAAATAAACAGGGAATCCTACCTTCCAACTACGCTCTGTCTCCAGTATCTATGCATGGAACATCTGAATATTTCTGCTCTTCCTTATGACTTTGTCCTTCAAGGTCAAGTTTTCTGGTGATCTTAATGAAAGGAAGGAGAAAACGTTTGTTTTTAAGTAGGATCATTATAACACTTGGTTGCCTGAGCTCTGTCTTCAACTCACCATCAAGAGTGGGTTCTTTCTGCAAGGGTGAAGGTGGGTGAGCTTTCAGGACACAGACTGGCCTGTGCTAAGGTAGAGTGGAGGTGCACTGGCCACCCCAGGACTGCCTGGCCACACCCTCTCTCGCCTTCCCTGAGGAGTGACCTGGGGTGTCTCTTCACCACGAGAGACTGAGGAGTAGGGCCTGGAGAGTGTTCTTGTGACCACCACAATCCATGCCCACTTGACATCTCTTGAGGTCCCCATCTGAGGCCCCAGTGGGGTCTGGGGCTGAGGCAGTTGTTTAAGCCCTGGACATTGAGAGTTGGCAGTCAATGTTTTCCTCATTCTGGGGACTCCTCAGTGGGCCTCCCATGGAACAGCATGGAAGATCAGGCCTGTGTGCACTGGGATTGGCGCCCCAGGTGGGAGGCTCATCTCCACCAGGTTTGATTGGCAGATAGGTGACTGTAAGTAATAAGAGGTCAGAGGTTAGGGATTCTGCATTCAGGCTTGCCCTTGCACAGGGGTCATGTACCTTGTGGCTTGGATGTGAGGTGTTTGAGTGGATTGACTGGGTGCTAACTGTAGGAAGGTGGGGTGTGGCTGGAGGAGGGGGCCACTGGGGGCTGCCCTGGAAGGGTGCATCTTCCTATGGACCCCACCTATCTGCTTCCTGATTCCTATGAGCTGAGCCGCTGTCCTCCACCACACCTTCCCCATGATGTGCTGCCTCACATGAGCCCAGAAAAAGGAGTGGGCAGACCATGGACTGACCCTCTGAAACCATGAGTCCCACATAAGCTTTTCCTCTTAGTTGTTCTTGTTGGCTGTTTTGATCACCGTGGTTGTGCACATGTGCAAACTCTTTTTGCCCAGGCACCACATGGCTTCCAAGTACTTGACTTTGCTGGAGAAGGTGCTCCTGTGTGTTTGGCAGAGTAATCATAGACTTCGACCTGCCCTGCCTTCCCACCCCACAGAAAACCGAGGCCCAAAGAGCTTCAGAGAACAAGCCCAGAGGCCTGGCTTTCCTCTGCCTTCAGCATTGGCTTCCAAACCCACTCAGCACCTCACAGACCAAGGTTCTGGGTCAAACCGGTGAAGCACGGCCTTTCCTGCGCTAGACTGGAAGTGTGGCCAGCCTGAGCTTCTGAGTGGCTGAACCTTGAAGGCAGCGGCAGGGGCTGTGCTCCTCCCTTGATGGCCTCAGGGCTTGGTGTCAGTGTCTTGCTTTGCAGCTGCCCCTGCAGGGTCGGGAAGAGGAGTTGGTCAGTCACTAGGAACTTTTCCAGTGCACATGTGGCTTCCAAGCACCACATGGCTTCCAAGCATGCAGGGTGGGCTGGCAGCGGGTGTGGGCATTCCCGAAAGGTTCTGCTTCTGCTCCGGGAGCCCACTGTGGCACTACCAGACCCTGGCACTGTGCCCTCCACAGCACCAGTGTCTAACTCAGTAGATACCTGCTGAGTGAAGGGGAGAAGCAAACACAGGGGGAGGCGAGAGGAGCCTGGACTAGGAGGCCCAGGTGCTGGAACACGAAGCCTGGTGGGGCCTCGGGTGATAGGCGATAGGCGATATGCATATCGATCGGGCCTGGAGGTGACCTGGCTTTCTCCAGCAGTCTGGCCATCAACTCCCTGTCAATAAACACAGACACTGCGCTGCCCTTGACCTCAGGAGTTAAACTAATAAACAGCTTAATTGGTCCTCATTAATTCCACTTCTGATTTACTGTAGGTAAACGTGGCCTTGGAGAGAATCGCTCCCAGGTTCCGCCCAAGCGTTTTAGCCTCAGCCTCCCACAGGTGATCTGTGGCGAAGCAGATGAGAGGGCTCCCCTCCTGCCTGCCAAAGACTGCACACTTGCTGCTGGGTTCAGGCCAGAGGGCATTTGCAAGGCCGTGTGGTGGTGAAGCCACACACGTGACAGTCCAGTGTTCCTCATGGTGACACTGTCCTTCTCATTACATTGAACATAGACTGCAGGCGTGATGCCCGCCCTCCCACTCTCTATGGTTTGAAGTTCTTTAGGAAAGGTGAAGCTCACATAGATATCATGAGCCTATTTGCAAGTCTCAACAGAGCTATTGTCTGGGGAGCTTAATTTGCTAGAGCTCTTTCTTCCTATCCTTAATTATGTATATACTTAATGACCGAGCCCCCTTCTGCCTGCTCAGCGCTTGTATGACACCACTTCTCTTAGTGCCACCTGATGACTCACGGCTCTCCCTTTTTACTCTCCTTGCTTCAAACTCTACACTTAAATATCAATACTCAGTTCAGCTTTGAGTATTAAGACATTTTTTTTTCCTCTGCTTCCTTGAAGAGCCGTGTGCAAGCCTTTTCACATTTATCTGGACCAAACAGTGGTGGTTTTACATGAGAACGAGAGCTCTGTAAGTAAATCCATGTATTTATATGTCTAAGGTGCATTATAAAAAGGAGCAATAAATTTAGAGTTCTACATAAAAGGAATTAGATTTTCCAGTTTACCTCTGCAGTGGGATTAATAAAATGGGCAACAAATAGCTGACAGAATGATCCATTTGAAGTTTGGAAAGGCATCTGGGAAGCTGGCTGGAGGAGCCTTTCCATTTTTTTCAAACAAGGATTTCTGTTAATTTTTGATGCAGTCCTGCTCCTGAATGCCTGTTTGGAAGCGAGCTCCAGACTGCTACCTGCCCATTTCTGCATGGCTGAGCAAATTCACCGGTAAATCCCAGCCTCTCCTCATTTCCATCACTGTGCGTCTCCAAATTACAGAGAATCCATTCCTGAGCTGGACAGGTGCCAGAAGTTTCTCATCCCGCTGTCGGTGGCTGTCTTTTCCTCTCCCGTCTTCGAGGCTTTCTGATTCCTGGAGTGAGCTCGACTCAGAGGTTCCCAGCCTCTCCCTCGCCTGGCATTCCCCCACAGTCACATCCAGCTCTGTGATTCAGAGGACGACGTGTGGCAGCTTTTGATTCTCGTCTCCTGTTACCTGCAGGTGTTCCAGAAACTTCAAAATGCGTCTGGTAACGTATTTGCTTCTCTAAATGTGCCACCTCAGTATGCATTTTATGCAGCTGATGATTATTTTTTAAAAATCAGTCTTTTGAATAGCGTGCCTGCAAATAAGAAAAAAAATGTCAAGGCGAGATTACAGGGCAGCGGGGGTGATTACTGGTCAGGTGCGTGTGGCATGCGTCCTTGATCATGTCGGCATGTGTGTAAATATGTATTATTTATGTACACATACATGTGCCCAGGCAGATTCATTAAAGAAATCTCATTGAAAGCAATACTTTTACTGTACACCAGGTTTTCTAATCTGATCTGTAAATGTCTTACATGTCAGCAGCAAGTACAGGAAAACCACATTATTTTAAATTCATGCAAATGCTATGTCTTAGATACCTATTTTAAAAAATCTTTCTTTCTTAAAAAAAATGATGATGATTTGGAGGCAATGGGAGGGGGAGTGGTGGTGGCTGATTTTGTGAATTTGGAGAAAAGAGTTGCCTTCCTGCTGCCAGAGAATCTCTGCCCCATAACACCTGTCTTCTTAAAACTCAGTGATCACCTAGGGGAAGAGACATGGCTCTGCTTCACAGTCACCCCAAGGGACACAAGCTGTAATGTAGGTATTCTAGATGATTGAACATAGGTAGATGGGGCAGATCTGCCGAAGCCGAAGCCAGCTGTGTCGCCCGGCTTGTGGAAACCACATCCACACTGTGTCAGGATGCACATGTGTTTACTGAAGTCCCACAGAGCAGCTTGAGAGTGCAGGCTCATAAATCACAGGACTTACTTGCCAGTGTTGGGTGCTAGATTCTAGAATTAAGAAATTACTTAGCAATTAATAGCGCACTCAGCCTCCCTGGTCTTGGGGAGATTTACAATCCTTGAGACTTGCGCTTCTAGCTAGAGATGACTGATGGAAGATTCAGACTTAATTGCTATTTCAAATGCTTAATGTGCAAAGATGCTTGCACTGCTTTATTTAAAAGACTTCTTTGGAAGAATGTGCATGTGTGTTTCTAAGTGCCATGTGTGCCTGTTGTGACTGCAATGTGCTGTGTGCTCCGGAGAAGTGACTAGGCTCAAGTGCTGCTCACCTGTGTGACAGAAACTCGCCTTCTTGTTCTGAGATGCAGCAATGATCTTGCCTTGCATTGTGCTCTTGCCTTTTGAGATCAACGATTATTAATTGTTGCAAAGATGAGAAAACAATGTGGTGAGACAGAGTCCACAAAGTAGGTTGAATGAGAAGTTTTCTAAGAAATTAAATGAAATAGATTTTCACAAGTGATTTTTCTAAATGTATAGGGGTGTTGATATTTGAAAATGCAAGCATCGTAAATACTAATTTCTAAGTGGAGCAGATTAGGTTAATATGAATGTTGTCTAGCACTCCTTTGATATATTTAAAGTGAGGCAGTAAATAGGCTAATTATTTTATATTGGCTAATCATTACTTTTGCTTCATGGTATTGATTATAAAACAAACTATTGATTTTGATTTGCTTTGAATTGAGGAGGATTGCAAACTTCAGTGGGAGAGTTCACTGAGTTGTGGCAATAAAACTGAGTATTTTTAAAAGTCAGTGTGCAAACTCCTTTTCCTTTTTATTGTGCAAGAGCTCATGTTGTACCACGTCCAGAGCTGTGTGTTTGTAGAGGACTGTGTATTTTGAAAAACCGCATGACTCTTAATGCTGATTTTTCTCAAGCACATTCAATTCACAATCACTAAGAGGTTCACTGAAGGTGCGTGTCCAGCTGTAGGGTGGCTCCTGGAGAAGCTGCTGTGTTTGGAGCCCTGGAGAACCTGTGCAGCCATTCATATTACACATGTATCTTGCTCTGGGCATAACTGATTTCTGCTTTAGGTACTATTCATTTCCAATATCATAAGCACACCTCATAGTGTTTCTTATGCAATGTCGGAATCTTGCCTTTGAGTGTAAATGTCTTGATCATGGTTTCAAATTGAGTGGGTAGATGACTGAAGATTTAGTAACCCTTTTTTTGTACATGTTACAAGTGCATTAATGCATATAGATATGCATATGCATTAAGATACATAAAAGCATTCCTTGTGTTCAAGTACATTACAAAACACTTTGCCTTCCTTCTGAAGTTGGCTATTTTGTTTGAAGTTGGTTTAATAGGCATAAAAAGAGGTTTTATTTTTCTGAGCTTACCTAGTACTGTGGGGTGGCAGGAAATCATTCAGCACTATTTTATAAGAAATATTATATGCACTAAATAGTGAAAAGAAAGAATGTCACATTTACCATCTGTCTCTAATTATGATTTCCCACTGGTTTTTAGATGCAGTATAGACCAGGACTTTATTATATAAAATGGACTTACGTCACTCTCATACCTAAAATAATTGTCAAACACTTTCCCACATATGTTTCCCTGTTAGGTGACTTAGGTTGTCTTAGCAAACATTCTAGTCTTTGTGGTTCACAGATAGATCGAGGATATAAAGATATAATTTGAGGGCTGACCATGCATCCAGAGCTGAAAACAGTCATTTAAATGGGCATTTACTATGCCTTACATTTTGGACCTGTCTCAGCCTTGGGACAAAAGGGAGCACTGTCCCTGCTATTTCACCATTAATGATGGCTTGCAGAGGCTCAGTTGCCTTCAGCTTGGTTTGAAACTTACATTATTTCCTTTTCTGTTCTGCCTTGTTTCAAAGTGACACCATCTCTGGGGTTTACAGTTGTGTGAGGAGGGCAGGCTGGTCAGGAGCACTGCTGGAGAAGATGGACCTAACCCCGTCATGAAGGAGATCTCTAGCAGGACTGATGGCGGGGAGAGGAATGGGCACGGTGGTGGGTAGAAAAGTCAGATGGGAAGAAACAAACCCAGCAGGAGACAGGAGGGATGACTTGCATGGGGAAGAGGTGCCACAAGGGGACCAGGTCGAGAGATGGAGAAACAAATTGCAGGGTGAGTTTTAAAGGCCCCCCGATTAATCTTCGTCAGCCTTATTAAATACTGTGGAAAATTCTTTGAGCAAGTGAGCATTTCTTCTATTTTATAACTGAAATGACTTCTGAAACAGCACTTCTGTGCCATCATTTTAGTGAATATTTCTAGAGCATTTTCTGTGGGCAGCTCTGGGAGGGCCCTGTTCTGAGTACCTCATGGCAATCCCCTGGTCCTCACTTACTTACATTCTCACTTGCATACTACTGAGGAAGAAGCTGAGTGGCTGGGAACCAGGGGCCTGCCTATTGTGGTGCTGCCAGGAGCTGGGGCCACCTGTGCCCTGGAACCTGGGCCTCACTGAGCTGCCAGTCACTGTATCGCTAGCCCCAGGTCCAGACCCAGGTGGCTGCTAACTGGGCTGTTATCTTGGTTCTCTGGGAAAAGACACTAAGACAGAATTAGTAAAGTTTCTAGGAGACTAAGGATGAAAGGTGAGAATTAAACCCAGACAGGGAAAGCCCTGGACTGCAAGGTGGGTCTGAAAGCCCTGGACTGCAAGGTCCCGTCAAATCCTGCGATGACTTTGCAGGGACACTGCCTGTTACAGCAGCAGAAGTGCCAGGGCTCTGCCTACTGGGCACTGCCTGGGTTCCCAGGAGGAGGAGGCACTGTTCCACCAGTGAGTGCATCCTGCAAGGCCTGCAGCGGGGCTGTCAGCTTAGTGCTCCTCCTCCAGCAGGATGGCTGGTTCTTTTTTGAGGGGAGGCCTGTGCCATGCACCTTCTTGGCTGTCAAGGTAGCATCTCTACTCCTGCTCTCTGGGGATGCAGGTTGAGGCAGGCTTAGCTCCTGTGGTGCAGAGCTGTGCTTGCTCTTGGGGTCATATGGAAGCAGACTGGGCACCCTCCAGCCAGGTGCCCTGCTGCATCCCCCAGTTCCCAGAACCACCCATCTCTTCTCTCTCAGGTGGACTCAACAGCTTCTTGGTGGGTCCTCCTCTCTCTAGCTCCTCCCTGCCACCTGATCTGTGTTAAATGCAGTCCTGGGTTATAATTCCAATACTTAACCTCTTCTTTGGTTTCCTAGAGAAGGGTTCCAAGCTCTGTTCTGCAGTACCTGGGGGCCGTGCAATACCTGATTGTATGGCCAGTCTGAGCCCCAGGTGGCGGCACAGTCAGGGCAGCAGTTAGGGGTATCAGAAGTGTTTACCTTTGTATTTAGAAAAGGCCATTTTAAATCCTGGGATTGAAGGATTGAGAGGAATCTGTGGAGTGGAGAAGATTTGCTAGGAGGAGGAAGCAGAATTGGGTGATTTGGGTGTGATTAGAGGGAAGGAGTGGTTTGGCTGAAATTTGGAGAATAGACAGAAAATTAATGGAATGTATTCCCAGAAAAGTAAATTGCAGCTCATAAAAGAACTACAGCCATGGGGTTTAACTTTTCCCAAAGGATCTGAGCAGAGAGGGACATGATTGAAAGGTCAGTCTGAAGGTGAAGGTGGCCACAGAGTTGAGGCCACAGCGAATGAAGGAACGGAGGCAGTTAGAAGGGTAGAGACCACTTGGGGCCATTTTGTGATGACAGGTGAGAAGAGAGGCATCTTGGGCTGCTATGTGAAGGATAGGAAGGGTAGGAAGATAGGAAGTAGGGGTGAGTAGGACTTTAAGTTGGATTGCGGGAAGGGTGAGGGGATAGTGCTCAAAAGGACTTGGAGGTTTGAGTTGGGCAATAGTGCCTGGCATGTGGGAACAGGAATGGACAGAGGCTCTGATTGAGAGACGGTGACAAGGGAGCAAGAGGTGGCCACAGATGACCCAAAGAGTGCCATGTGAATCTCCCACTGTCTCCTCACTTCCAGCCCTGCTTCAGGGTCTCACTAAGTTGCTGAGGCTGGCTTCAAACTTGTGATCCTCCTGCCTCAACCTCCTGAGCCACTAGGATTACAGGTGTGCGCCACCATGCCCAGATTGTCTGGTTTTAAGTTTACCATTATTTACAGATTTTGTCCTTAAGCTTTTCAACCAAAGATGAAGGCATAGAAAACAAAACTAATGTTCACAGACACCAACAATTCAGA